GCTGGCGTGAGGGGGACTTGGAGAAGGTGAGGATGAGGCTGGAGCGAAGGCCTGTGTCCGTGGAGAGGACCAAAGGCTCCGAGATCTTGTTTGGGATCGCGCCGTGTTCCCTGGCGCTCTCCCAGTCCAGGAGGGACCTGTTCAGGTTGTTCCTCAAGCAGAGCAGCGGCTCTCGGCGGCTTGTCACGAGTGAGTTTGTCCTTCAGGCCACGGCGCGGGGCGTCCCCGTGCACCACGTCCCAAGGAGGGAGCTGGATGCTCTTTGCCGGGGTCAGGTCCACCAGGGAGTCTGTTTGGAGGCCTCTCCGCTCCGTTTCAAGAGTTTGGAGGAAGCTGAAAAGCCCCATTTGGGGGATGAAGAGAATCCGAACCAGCAGCTGATTTGGCTCGTGCTGGAGCAGATCCAGGACCCCATGAACCTGGGGGCACTGCTGCGCTCGGCGTACTTCTTGGGGGTGGACAGAGTGGTGACAAGCCAGAGAAACAGGTACAGGGGTGGTTATCGGCCCCTTCAGCTTTTCTCTTTTTCCCAAAGAGGTTTCCAGCCTGCATTGCTCGACAGCTTCTCTAGAGGGCTTTCTGGGACAGCATGAGAGCTGAATTTGGCTGGTGGATGCTTTGCGTTGCGCTCTGCAGGGAGGCTGTGGGACCTGGTACTCCAGGCTGGTTAGGAACATCCCTGGGTACTTTTAACCCGTTTTGTGTTGTCCGTCTGTGCACAGAACTGCTAGAAGCTATTTCCTGGGTTAATTCCTGAGCCCTCCTATCCTCCATAGGAAAATATATCTATATAGTGAGTGAAATCTTTAGGGGACTAGTTGGAATTGGGTTGCAGAGGCAAGAGAAGGAAATACAGAAACAAAAATTCTTGTGGATTTCCTTTTTTGCTCTCATGACGCTTTTCCTTTCTTTTTTTCCTTGCAGCTGCCCATTGACTCCGACAGTGAGCAAAGCTAGCTCGGGAGTGATGGAAGTCTTTGATGTCTACAGCACAGATGATCTCCGGGGCTTTTTGAAGGTAGAACGATCTGTGGGGTTTTTTTTGTTTTTTTTTTCCTTTTCCTTTCAAGAACCTCTAATATTGCACATATTGAAGAGAGAGGAGGTACAGGAAGGAAAAGGACTCGGTTACGTGCAGTGTCAGTGCTCCTGCTCTGCATCCCTGTTTGCTGCCGGTGGTCTGTGCTGTCAGACCACCTCTAGCAGGCACACACCCCGAGTCCCATTCCATGAGCTGGGGTAACCGGTCTGAGCTGTGGGTCTTTTACTGGAAGATGGCGATAGCAGGACAACGCAGTGTCTGTCTCCTCCTATACTCAGATTGTGAGCTCGGTAAGACTGCGTCTGTCTTGCTTTCTCTCCATGGGGACCAGAGCTAGAGCAGAGCTGGCGTGCAGCAGAGGCAGCATCCCAGGGCCCGGGCACACGATGGCAGCATTGGGCAGCTCTTGGAGCAGGGGAGAGGAGAAACCAGGGCTGGTGTGAGCTACTGGGGGTCTTTTTACACTGTACTTATGCACTGAGGTGAGATAGGGCCCTTTGCAGAACGTTCTGCGAAAGGAAAAGGAATGCACATGGAAAAAAAAAAGAATGATTTAAAATTAAATAATATAGTCTGGGGTGACAGCAAGGAGACCGAGCAGAGGTAAGTGGACTCTTCCCACCTGGTGCAAGGAAACACTTGTCCAGCTGTACATGAGGTGTGTGGCAGCTGGAGCTCTGGTGAAATGAAAGGCACATAAAATCCATTTGGTATTTATTGAAACAGCTGGAAGAATCACTTTGTAATGTTTGCATAATGAACATTTTGAGACACTGCAGCAGTTCATTTGGTTGGACCCAGATTCACTGGCCTAACCCCTGGCATTGCCTGGCTGGTGTAAATGTGATATAACGTGATGTAAAAGTGCCATTTTCACAGGAAACGAAGCTGGCAAGAAGCAGCAGCTCTTTTATTGTTAAAACGGATTTCCAAGGCAAATAATTAAGTCTCTTTTTACTTGGGTGCGGGAGGGAAGGCTCATTCTCTGGTGATGTGAGGCTCTGAGTGTTGAGTGCCCTGCCTTTTGTATGAGCTGATTTTGAGTTTGAAAATGTGCACTTGTGTTTGCAAACGTTCCTGTGGGCTTCTGGTGGCAGAGCCTGCACTTGAGAACTTCCACTGCACTGCTCTGTGGATGAGCTTTATGCTAATTTGTTTAACACTACTCTTTTTATATGCTTTCCTGGCAAAAACCTTACTAGAACTGTTGTATGGGCAAAAAAAGCTTTTCAGTTCCTGTTTGTTTGCTTGCTGAACTGGAATAAACACCAGAAAGAAAATTACTTTTTTTTTTTTCCCCCTTAACTCAAGATTTGTGTGCTGGTACTGGGAGGACTTTGGTGGTAAAAATTCAAGGAATGCAAAAAAAAAAAAACCCCAAAAGCCAGTCAGCTTAACTGAAAAAATAAAAAAAAAAAAAAGTGTGTTTGCATACATGACTTATTTTTTGTTATAAGCTTGAAAAGTAGGCAATTTTTAAACATTTCTTTCCTTTCCCTTTATAGGCTAAAACCGCAGAGGGCTGGGAAGTCGTGGGAACTGTCAGCAACCCTGAGGATGTGGAGAATGTTCCTGTCATCAGTTGCTTGGAATTTCAGTGGAATAAACCCGTTATTATAGTAATAGGTATTTCAGCTTACAGAGCTTTGGGCTTGTGGAGGCGCATGGGTGAGGGACCGCTCAGGGGGATGTTTCACCCCAAAGCTAGTTGCAGGTGTGTTATGTTACATCACACTTTGGTCTGGAGAAGAAAAAACTGCGCGAGATGTACTGGAATGATCTGGCTGCAGATGAAATAGGGACCCAGAAGAGGAGGGGGAGCTTCCCAGTAGGAACTGCAAGAACAAACCAGTTTGTGCAGGTCAGCAGGGAGTTTAGTAGCTGCAGAGGGTGTGGATGGCAGTTTTCGGTGGCAGGACAGGTCTGGGTCAGTGCAGCTGCAGTGTGGTGGTTTGCGTTGTGTCCTGCGGTGCTTTTGATCCTGTCCTAGAGCCCTGAACCGGGATTTTCTGTGTTGGTGAACCCGAGTGAGGAACCCAGGAGGTTTGTGTTTGCTCTTGCTGGGCTGAGGCTGTAACCGTGAGCTGTGCTGTGTCTTTGCGCTGTCATCTTTCCTCTTAAAAAAACAGGAATATGTCTGTGCGTGGGTCTGGAAAGAGGAGCTGTTTTTGGGGATGGTCTGAGCACAGAGCGGGGCACAGAGACCGGCCAGTGGCTGCTTTTGTACACCTGGGAGAAGGCAGGAGCTGCTGGCTGCTGCGGTATCAGCAGGAGGAGCTGGTGTAGCCTCCTCCCTGCAGACCCGGGGGCTGTTTGAGCAAGGGGTGCCACTTCCCTGAGCACCCGAACTGGCCGATTCCTGCAGGGCCCTCTGATCTTCCCCCCTCCTTTGTAGAGGATACTTGCAAAGGATGCTGTCTGTGGTAGGCAGAGGTTGGGGTTTTGCAGCCTCCCAGAAGGTGGAGAAAAGGGGAGGAATGGCCTCGTGGCAGCTAGAGAAAGAAATTCCCCCAGGAGTGCCACGCCGTAGCCCCCCACTTTGTGTCACCTGGCACAAGAGCTGGTTTGAGCTTTTCCACTTGGAAGTAGTGTCATGGTGGCGATGAGCCATCAAGGGGCTGTAATCCTGCCCCGTGCTGCGGTTTCCTTGGCTCAGAAGACATTCCTTTAATTAAAATGTTTATTGAACTCCTAGAAATACTGACAAGACAACGGCACAAATCTGGCATCTCTACAAGATGTGTGGAGCTGTGTTATAAAGGGAGTAGGGAGGCTGGCAGCACTGCTGATGGACCACAAAGAAATGCATCCCAGAAACAACGACAACACCAGGAGAAAGGAAGGGGGTGAAAGTGGCAGTGGTGTCGTTACCTTGAATTATGAGAGATTTCTCCCGGAAAAAGTCCAAATATCCTTTTGTCAAGGGAGATTGGAGGCTGATTGGTAGATGCATGAGGAGAGCTCCCGGACCTTGCAGCAGTAATGATTTCAACTCTCTGCTGAGCACTAACTCTTCGCTGAAAAGAAAATTGAACATTACAGTCGTCTGATGCTGGGGTTGTTTGAAGAAACGTCCTAAATCTGAATATGGAGCGTTCCTGCAGCTGCAGAGATAATTTAACGTGGGAGTGAGCTTCCTAGCACTGCACAGATTGTCTTGTAAGGTAACTTGCAGACTCGAATTCACCCTCCTGGCACCGTGGCTTGGCAGAGAGTGATTTGGCCCATCCGGCTGAATGGTGTCTGCGCTGGAGTCATTGCCGGAGGTGACAGGCAGGCTGGCTGCCTGAAGACCGGGAGCCTTGTGCGAACAGGAACAGATTGGGAGCACTTAGTGTCTGAGCAAGAAGACTTTCTGGGTAATTTGTTTTTCTTACACCTTCAGTCTTTAGCTTGGGGTTGAAGACTGTTGGTGGAATTGGTTTTATCGAGAGGCTCATTTTGCATATTTCTCTGAACTGCCAGCGTGGCGCTTCCTGCGCTGGAAGCAGCAGTTGTTATGGTGGCGTTAATTGTAAATGGGGCAGGAAACCTGTTTTACCATTTCAGCCGAGCTCTAACACTGATCTTGGAGGCCTGTCAGAGAGGGACAAAGCTAAGAGATGGAAATCAAAGATCTGAGGTGGGAGGTGTTTTGTTCACCAGTATAAACTAGGATTGAATCTGATTCAGTCGGTACTCCCTCCCTCATGTCACACTGTGCAAGTCTTTTTGCCCTGAATTTATGGTTCCTAATTATTTTAAGCAGCCAGAGCCATAAAAAGCTTTGTAAAAGCTGGAAGCAAAATTGCTGCCTTTATTAGGAATCTTAAGACCCTTATCAGGGAGAGGAGAGGATTGCTCCAGGAGCCCTCGCACCTCTGGCAAGGGCTGCTGTCCCAGTTGGAGAGTCCCACAAGAGTGTGGTTTGAGAGGCTCAGGAGGCAAATACGACTGTAAGTTGTAAAACTTTTCTATGTTGAACCAGGAAAAAGTAGGATAATTTTTTTTTTTCTTGAAGCATCCCTAGAGAGCCACGGTCGGGCGATGAAGAGGCAGGCTGGGCCGTGGGCAGCCTGGCTTTGATTCCTTGTGTCACCCAGGCTTCCCTGGTGACCTTGGATAACTCACCCAGGCCGTGTCTGCCCTGCTGCCTTACAGCAGGAGGAAAATAATGCTTAGGGTGGGATTTTGGTTTTCTGAAGGTTCATTTATCCCAGCCAAAGGATGCTTTTGCCTGTAGGGCTCATTTCATGGGGGAGGATGCAGGATGTATTACCCAAACCATTCTTTTCCTTACACAAAATGCATCTTGCTGGTTAAATCAGGCCAGACAAGTGTGAGACTGGGCCTCAGCTTCCAGTCTGTGAAATGGGAATAAGAACACTTTCCTACCCTGTGCAGTCAGGGGGTGATCGCGCAGATCAGTACCCCGGGACCTGCTGGGGAGGGGCTGTAAGGAGCAACCGGGGGAAGAATTCTGCAGCCACTCAGCCCAGGAAGGAGCTCGTTTGCATTACAGAGGAGAGAGTCTCCAGTGGCATAGGAGTGCCAGAAGCATCTATGTAGGCTGTTAGACCTTCGGGTAAGGGTCTAAATTTAGGTGAGCTGACCGAGACCTTGATGACAGCAGTGCTCACGCAGGCAGAGGTGCAGGAGCCCCTGGGAGGCAGCGTGTGCCCTGGCAGTGGCGTCCCAGGACCGGTCTGGGGTTCTGCTGCGGTCAGGGAACGGCTGTGGAAGGGGAACGTTTGGTTTCCAGCATGCTGAGCCTGTTTTGTCGGAAGGTGAGCGTGTCTTTGGAATGAGCTGGGTGTTCTTGCAGCCGTGTAGCTGTCTGTGTAGCTCTAAATAATGAATGTGGAAGAATTCTTTGGGGAGCCGAGCGGGCTGGGAGGTCTGTGGTGTCTTCTGCATTTTCACTTGTCTGCACACAGGATTGTTTAAAGCCTCTCCCTTTCCATTTCCCTTTGTGACAGTGTGAGTCAAACAACTACTAATGACCTGGGATAGATTTCAACTCTGTTTCACCAGTGTATCAGCCCAAACATATCAGGGCTGTTGGATGGTTTAACAACTAATCAATTGAAGCCTCTGGTTAAACTGTCTGCATTCACAAGTTGCACCCAGCTGGTGGTACTGTGTGCTGAACAGGCTGAACTAGCAACAGGGACCTGGGATTTGCTGGACTGGACCAGGCCTGTGGCCTCTTCTCTGCCTCGTGGCAGCACACAGTTTGCCTGGGTAGCTCCGGTGAACGTGGGGAGCGTCTGTCTGCTGGCACGGCGGCTGCTCGCCCAGGGGATCCGTGCGCTCGGGGCACGAGGCTCTGTGCTGTGCCTGCGGGTGTGCTGCACAGGTACTCCTCAAAACCGCTTCAGATACTGGAGAATAGATCCGGGGAGGCTGGAGTGGGCGAGAAAACTTGGCAGTGGAAAAAAGGACGTGGCAGCAGGTGTGAACTGACCTGAGCTGTGTCTTTGTTCTGCAGGTAGTGAAGGTGATGGACTTTCCCTCGAGACGCAGTGCTTGTGCCATCGGATGCTGGCCATACCCTCTGGCAGAGCGCTTCACCCTGGGATCGAGTCGCTGAACGTCTCTGTTGCTACTGGTAAGAACAGTTCTGAGCACGAAGGCATCACAGTCCACTTTTCTGTGTTTAAAAATCCAACATCCGAGCCCACAGAATAATTTTCTTTTGGTTTAAAAAAAAATATTTTTTTTAAATTTACTTTTACTTTCCTACAGGTATTATCCTGCACTCCATCTGCAGCCAGAAGCTGAGGCACGGCGACTGAATTTATTTTATTTGGCGGTGGCAGCTGCTCGGCGTTTCGTGGCTGTGCTCTGTTGATGTGGACGTGGAAGCGCTCTTGCCCGGGTCTCCACCCTTGCTGCAAGTTCCCCAGTGACCTGAGCTGGACCTTGGCTGATGATACCGCCAGAGCCCTGGGTTATGCTGCAGTCAGACGCCTGTGTGTAGTAGGTAACACCTCCCACCCACACCTCAGAGGAGCGGCTGTAAGGGAAGGGGATGCAGCTAGGTTTTAAAAGCAGCCAGCCAAACCTTTCAGTTTTTGCAGTGAAACACCTGGTGATGGCTGCGAGCTCTGTGCTTGTTGCACGGGGGACTTTGTACATGGCTCGTGCTGTGGAAAGAATTTGGGCTGGAGGGGAGAGATGGTGCTCGGCTGGTGCCGCTGCTAGAGCAGCCGTCCCTGTGCCCACCCTGTGCCCCGAGCCCACCGCCCCCTTAGCAGCCGAGGGGGTGCTGGTGATAAGCAGGGATGATGTGGGACTACTCAGTAGCAATTTCTTCACAATGAGGCGGTTTCTCTCTTACGTATTGCTGCTTGAATGGATGTCTGGAAGCACACTGGGTTGTATTTGGTGGTAAACCAGCTCTGAGCCCTGCCAGCGGATGGACATGAGCAGTTGGGAAGCAGCTGGAGTGGGGAAAACGCAGCCCGTGGAAATAAACCTCTGTCGTTGTAGATGCCAATCAGTCCTTGTTGTGTCGTGTATAAATCCAGAGTGTGATTAGTGCAACAGGGCACTTCCTTCAGGTGGGAAGGGGAATCGGGAGCTTGTTTTCTTCTTCTGGGAAAGTTTCCTTTCCATGGTGGGCCTGATCCTGCTGGATGCTGAGCTGCCCCAGCACCACCGTCCCTGCTGATGGCATGGAAGGGGGTGAGGGTGGCTTCCTTTGGAAATACCCTGCTTGAAAGCCAGGCTGGCTAAATTATTGAGAACCGAATGAATGTTATCACTTAGCACCTTAATTATTTTATTTAGCTACTGTGGCCCTTTGCATAGGATTCCTCATTAGCACTTAATTTACAGTGCCCTTTAGGGATAATTTCAAACAATTCAGCTTAGTTTCCCCCCTCCCCCCCATCCAAATGAAGAAGTAAATCACTCCGAGTGACTAATTAGGACTTTCCTTTGAGCTAAATGAAGTCTGTAAACCGTCTGAGGATGTGGAGGTTTTTCAGATGCGTCCCTGGGAGGGTCTGGACGGTGGGTGGCTGTGGGGCTGGGGACACCCCAGGTGCCCAGGGTGGGGGACAGGCTGCTGTGGCCATATCCTGAGCTGTGTCTGCCTTTTTGTCCTCCTGTGGAAAAGGACAAAACCCAAATCCCCCCAAGACGATGGCTGTTGTGTGAGCTGGGCTTTGGTGCCCAGGTCTGAAGGTGAGCTGGTGATGGAATAATTAAACTGGTGCATCACTGGGGCGACAGCTCTCGGGTGGGTGTGCAGCACTTGTGTTTTGTGAGCTGAATGTGTATTTTATTTTAATGCGGAAATAAGCCAGCTCAGGGCCAGGGAGGCTGCAGGCCAGCCCCCCGCCGGCGCGGCTCCCATGGGTGCCCCAGCAGAGGGTGCCCGTGGCTCAGGTTTGCTCATTTTGAAAGGAAAGATTCAGTGCTTGGGGCTGGCTGAATGCTTCCTTTCCAGCTGCAGGGATGAGGATAACACCGTTTCTTTATTCTTGACCTATAGGTAAGTATATGTATTTTTCCGATTTCAGAGGAACTGCGGTTTCTCTTTTTTCTTTTTTATTTATTTGAGCAGTCCTTGGATAGAGGAGGCACTTGGCTGGCTTTGCGTGTGTTTGGGAAAGCTGGGCGCTGTCAGACTGTGCTTAGCGGTGCCGGTCCACCTCTCTAACGAGGAAGCAGGTAAGTAATGATGGAGCAGCTAGGCTACTTCTGGAAGGCTCCCAAAAAGCTGTGAAACCTCGGTGCCCGGAGCAGCTCTGCTGACGGGGTGGGTGAGGTGGATCGAAGCTCCCGTGGTCGCTTGCCCAGCAGCCCAGCAGCCATCACCACTCCCCTGCGAGTTTCCCCATACAACCACTGTATCCCCAGAGCACCGTGATTTGGCACTGGAGTGTCAGACGAGGCTTACTGGGGGCTGCGTGAGGCAGGAATTTTACTAGGGCTGCAGCTCGGGCTTTTTTTGCGTGAGAGCTGCAATCCAGGCTTTTGTGAGCGCGGTAAATCCCGCTCCGTTTGGCTCTGCTGTTGGCATTTAGCCCGTTTCGCTCAGTGGTGACTTCACGCCCTGCTTTGTTTCACTGGGATGTCCCTCCGCTGTCACCAAGCCGGCGTTCGGCTGTATCTGCCACGGCCAATGCTTTCTCCTGCCCCAACTCCATCCTGCTCAAGGCTGAGACCCGCGAGCAGTGCGGGGACCTCTGCACGCTCGCACCTTGGGGGATGGAGCGCTGTGCTGTGCGGTTTGCCCCTGATCTAATAAATGCGATCCATTAATTGGATCATTGCCTGCTTCTCCAGTTAATTTCCTGGGTATTTTTAAATGTTAAAATGTAGCTTTTATAGTCTTTCATTATTTTTAGCCTTAAGCTTGACTATAATCGTCCCTGTAATGTAACTGTAAAAAACTCCCGGCTTTGTATCATAAAGGAGGACATTAATTGTCATTTTTTGTGTACATCAGCAAGATCAAAACATGCTTCCTGATTACTTCTGTTTGTACACACAGTCTCTTTGATATTTAGATATGAGTAAAGTGTGTGTGTGTGTAATTTGAAAGTCAATTCTTCCCTCCCTGCTGCTTGTCTTGGATTCCTTTCAGAGGCTTATTTACCAAATTGATTTTAAAATTTCCTAATTGCCCTTCCAAAATGATTTCTCAATAATCAAAGTGTCTCTAAGCACAGTGGCAAAATATTTGTCCTCCTTGGCTCAGAAGGTGCACTCCACTCCTTGGCCTTTTCATCCTCAGATGAGGGAAAACACAGATCTTTTCATCTCCCAAAATCAACTCCGGGGAGAGCTGGTTGCAAGAGAAGCCCCAAATTTTGCTTTTTTGTGCAGATTATCAACACAACCAAAAAAATCCCCGTTCCATCAAATCCAGCGCTGGGTCCCAAGGAGGTTTCCCGAGGCTGGAAGGGCCGTGGGACAGAGAACACCTTTTTGCAAAGCTCGAGGTGGTACGTGGCTGAAGGGAGCGACGTGGGTGCTGCCGGGCTGGGGCTGAGCGGCCGGTGCTGGAATCATCGCCCAAGGGGCACCTTCCTCGCCGGCGGCAGGGAATCCTCCGCCGCGCCGCAGCCCCATCCCAGTTTGTAAATGTAATCAACCTTGAGGTCTTGTTACTTCCACAGGTGCAATTAACATTACCATCTGCTAATCCGTGATTAACGATGTTTACAAATATGCTACAACATGTTCCAATGTGCCGGCGTTCTTTTTTTTTTTTTTTTCCCTTTTTCCCCCCCATCTCTGTTCCGGCGTGGCAGCCGTGCTGCGGGCGGGAGGGCTTTCCCGGCGGAGGGCTCCCCGTACCCCGCCGTTAATTCGCAAACATTTTGTTTTCATTGTTTCAAAGTGCTGTTAAACTCCGAACCAGCTGTAGGAATGACAAGTTCGTCTTGGAAGGTCAGTGCTGCTAAATGGGATTTAATTGCACGGGGGTTGAGGTACGAACTGATGAATCTGAATAATAAAACTTTGTGGGGAGCAACATATGGCGCCGTTTAAAGTAAATTTTTATTGATCATCCCACAACTGATGTGTTAATGGGATGGCAGTCTCGGCTTTCGGTCTGATATTGATGTGGAGTTTTAATAATGTCACACAGGAATGTTGAGGAGGGGTTTATAATTTAAAAAAAAAAAAGAAGAAGAGTGTTTTCTATTAACTGCCTTTTTCTTCCTAACGCAGAGAGGAATACATTAGATCGCTGTGGATGTCCTCCAGATCTGGGTTACGTGTAATTGCTCGGTAATTGGTAGAACCATGTAAAAGCCATGGTATTTGCCAGTAAACCCTCCTAAGTTACCGTGAAATTGAAGTGTGAGATTTATTCTCTACAAAACTTACTGCCCAAATATGGCGTACGATCGGGGTTGGTCACCGCGGAGCGTTCCTGCGGTGGCCGTGCCGTGCGTAACGCCGGGGCCGCTCCGATTTCCCACCGATACCGCCCCAACGACTTGGGGGGCTGAATGGGGGTTAAGGGGTTATTCTGCTCCAAGGGAAGATGCTTTAACCTCCCTTGGGCTTCACTCTCGGGATTATTAAAGGTATTTCGAGGTGCAGCTCAAAACGATGGAGGTCTGGAGGCAGCTGAAGAAGTTCTCTTCGTTTTTTCAATGGAGTGGGAATAGTAATTACGCCGACGACAGTTTTTGGATGCTCAGGAGATGGGTATTTGTCGGAACACTGCAGTCCGTCCTCAAGTCACCCGTGTTTTAGCCTCTTGTTGAGCAGGATGCCCAGAACACTTCCCACCTTGGCCATTCCCATGATTTAAGTTTGAGCCTCTTGTTGAGCAGGATGCCCAGAACCCTTCCCACCTTGGCCATTCCCATGATTTAACCACAGCTCTGGTTTAGAGCCCTCCAGCCCCACGGGCGTGCGTGGGCTCGTTCCGAGGAGCCTCCGCTCGTGGGTTTTTCCCTCTGACGGAGGGTTTTGCCCCTTCTGCAAAGTGTCCAGGTGGGTTCGGTGACGGCTCCTCATCGCTGCCACGTGGTGTTAAATACGAGCAGAAGTAATTGCCTTGCGGATGATCGATAGTTTTATATATGTTAAAAATGCAACAATATGCTGTGAATTGATGCAAAGTGAAACCTGCCGATTTTTTTCCCCGCTGGCCAGTTTTAGAAGCTGCAAACTCAGTAGCGTTCCCCCCGCGCCTGGGAAGCGGCAGCTCAGCTGTTTTCTCTGAAGCTCTGAACATCGCATCCAGAGTGTCCCCCCGATCCCGCCGGGCTCGGCCGGTCCTGTTTCGTGGCCGATGGCACCGAAGGAGCTGCGGTGG